AGCAACGCTGTATCCCCGTATGGATGGAAACAGTGGCCACGAATCCACTGGCCGTGCTGCCTTCTCTCGGCGAACTAAAGTGCACGTGGCACCTCGACCGCCACAGGAAGGGAGTTTCACAACGTTCGTGCGATCATCCACCGACCCAAGCGCGTGCACCGCCACCGCCCGGCACAAAACCATCCACCAAGAAGAACGGTGGATAATTTTCAGGCTTAAAGTTAAATTTGGTACTTCAGCCTAACGACTCACAAGGGTGTAGGGACCAACGCACAATCGTCCAGTGTCAGGAACACGGTTTTGTCGCGAGACAATGGGTGAACACTGCTGGTGATGACAATCGCTGATATGGCTTCTATTGTCCAGCAGGATAGGAAACTGCCTTTTCAGCTAGAAGCTTGGAATGTTAATAGGGGGGGGGGGCAGTGGAGATGTGAAAAGTAAATTCCATATTGGGTAATGGATGTGATGATTTATAGTTGCTCAAACTTTAGCCAATAAATAAAAAAATGTCATTTTCATGGTAATACTCATAAGTTTGAGGAATGCATCGTCAAGTATGGGGCCACATTGGCAAGCTCGGTTTTGTTGATTATGATGCCCTACACTCACTGTACTTTCCCTACCGGGCATCACTGCCTATGCGAATACGCAGCAACCAGCTGGACGGTGCAGCAGTGTGACACGTGGCTTGTAACCAAGAAGGTTGTGAGTCGAGTATTCATTGAGCCCATTATCCCGAGATGATCAATAAAATAAACACCGCTTTGTGGGAAATTCAACAGGCATTGTCCTCTTAACGCAACAATCCTTGCTCCCGTATGATTGTTGAACTTCTTTCGCATCGTACCTAGCAAACCGTGCTAATCAAAGGCGTGCAAAAGTTGCGATTGAAATTACCCTTAAGTCCGGGACTTCTATACCCACACACTCGGAAACTTCCCTGTGAGCTCAATTGATGGAGAAGAAAAACATTATTAACACGAGCGGACTACAGAGAGGTGACCTTCGTGGGGATGTAATATCTGTACGCCGCATAAAGTCGTGTTCTTCTTTGAACGCGAAACGCCGACATCAAACACACCTGCAGACCTTCGCACGGCGTGTAGCCAGACGTGCGAGTACACTCTTCGGATTGTTGTGGAATTTGACCTCTCCGCTGAGCAGACACGGAAACCCTCCACGGGGCTCGGGGCATAATCAGGGGATGATTAATTCCAGGAATGTGTGCTAAGTCTTTTTTTAGCTTTCTCCCATTCCTTTTAAAAACCCAGAAAATACCTTCGGCCCGTTTCTAAATATAACGTGACGGGTGACGCAATGACGCCCCCCCCCCCATCCCACCTCCAAGCCGCCAGGGTGAAAAATTTCAAAAGACTGGGTTTTATTTTTTTATCATCGCGTGAAATACGCACCCCTTGGAACGACTTGAAGTAAATGTGTCTGTCGTGTGCGTACTTTGTCGACAGGGCGGCGTCCGGGAGAGCTCCTTTAGGACGTGGCAGGTCAAATCACAGAGCACTGTTGTTGGTAGCACTCAAGACCTCACCGCCCCCCTCCCTATCCATCCATAGATCTCCTATCAGTGCGATCGGGCAGAACACTGTGCCCATTCCACAGTTCCAGCTAGCTGCACCTTCAAGAGCGGCCTCGTTCCAGAGTGCCCCCAGACGCTTCATATCATCCGCAACAAATCTTTAACTTTGTGACTTGTGAACACAAATAGTTGGTGATTCCCGCATTGGCAGTGGTGGTGCACGCAAGCACAAATAACAAACGCGAACTCGTCACATTTATCAATAGCACTACGTGGCCTTAAAAGGAAGAATAAAAACACACATTATAGGTGACGTTTCTGGCAATTGCCCTTCTTCATTGCGCATAATTAGAGGCAAAGAGAGATCGAGTGGATATGAGTTGGAGACTGCACTCTAAACACCACGGGGTCTGATAAGACAGTCAATTAATCAGTGCATCAGAATCAGAATATTTATTTATACTGGAGGAATCCGATGAGCGATGAAGCTCTTTTTTCACAGATGTCCAGTAGGGGCGGGTAGTGTGAACGTCATAACAAGAAACAGAACAGAGACTCGTGATAGTCGTGCAAAGTAAAAGCGAGGTAAACAAATAACCCAAAAACACAAACAAATACAACAACTAAACCATCCCCATCCTACCAGGCAAAGCCCACTGAGGTATTAAATTATTTTTCAGAAGCGACCTGGCCACAAATGATAGCTCAACAAAGCGGCCCATTATTTGGACATTTATAGCAACCAAAAGTAATCTCAAATAATCTCGATGTATGTTTCTAAAAAAATGTTTTTTGCAAACTCTCGAGCTTCGTTGTTGCACTTTAGTCAGCGGGTCTCACTTTTCCTGTGGACACGCGAACCACCTCCCCTGTCTGCTGCGTCCACCACCCCCTGCCGCTCCACTGTGCGGAGTGAGCGGGCCTCACTTTTGTGAGCGAGTCACATTGTGTTTTCCTTGCACATTCTTGGAGTCTGCTACTTCAGTCTGTTACTTTTCCTGTTTTTGTTTAAATGGGTGTCGGCGGCGGTGCCTGCGTGAACCCACTTGAGTTGTGTGGATGAACGCGCGACCGTTCCTGAGCGGCCGTGAGTGTGTTTGTTTGTGTGTGTGTTGAATTTGGGGGGAGCGGTGGTGCAGCGGTTAGCGTGCTGTGCTGCCAATCCAGCGACCCGAGTTCGATTCCCGCTCACGGTCGATACCAGCGACGATGATCTGAACCGGTCCTGGGCCTCCCCTAGGTCGACTCAGCCTCAACTGATTGCCTGGGGAGACAAAGGCGGCCGGGCGTGGTGTTGGCCACCCACCCCTCGCGTGCCATGCTGGCCTTTATAGGTGCTCGCTAACAGCACAAGGCTATACGGGGAATCGTTGTTTTGTTAAATGCTACCTAAATACAAGTATTAGAAACTTTGGTAGTGATTTATAGATATTCTTTCCTCAGAAAATGTGCCTCTTAAACATTTTCAGAACAATCATAATGTATTTCAGTAATACTTAGAACAACGCGAAATGAATAATGCTTAAAATACATTAAAAAAAACTATCTCCATATATATAAAAGGCAAAGTTATGATTATGTGTATCTCTTCAAAATGTTTAGTGTACTTCCCGACATGCAACAAACTTGAAATTTGCCATGTGGGTACTTTCGAGACTGTACACCATGCAAAAATTATAAAATACAAAAATTTTGGGGGGGGGGGGGAGCTCAATAATGCAGATATTTTTTGCACGGCCATTGAGCTGTGACGTCAAATCTGTCATGTGACCCGCACATGTGGAAGCGTAACGCATTGTAGTGTAGTGGTTAGCGTGCTGCGCTACGAACCCGGCGACCCGAGTTCAATTCCTGCTCACGGCCACAACCGATGATGATTATTTTAACCGGTCCTGGGCCTCCCCTAGGTCGACTCAGCCTCAAACGAGTAACTGCTGTGTGATCATCGCCACTGGGGGGACAAAGGCGGCTGGGCGTCGTGAATCCAAGTCGGGTAGTAAAGCTAGCCGGAATATATTTTGTATCAGTGAAAAAGGTTTCGGAAAGTACTGTATGTTTAACAAAACTGATGTACTCTGCGAATATGTTCTCATTTGAGTGACATGGGTATGTAAATATATAATCCGATGGGTTAATAAATAATAATAAAAATATATTAATAATAATATTAATAGTGTACAGCTATTATTTTCATCCACTACTGGATTAAGGCCTTCCAATGCTGTTTTGGTCACGTGAGTTGTTTTACCATACTTCACTATGCTGGTTGCTGTGGGTTCATGAAGGCTTACGACGGAAGGTGAGTAGGACTGATGGAGATATCACTCACCACTAATGTCAACCATGGCTTGGACTCCGACTGAGTTTGCTTGGCTTCACAGGGCAGTGCACAAACCACTGCATCACTTGCATCAGTCCATAAGTGAGTTAAGATTTCTATCAAATCACATTTGATATCAAACCACATTTGTGTCCAGAGCAATATAAATGTTCCGTCATCACCAATTCAACAGGGACTGTTCAACACTTGACTCAGTGCTGCCACTCGTCTCTTTTGGGTTGTGGAATGTGATCAACATATTAAAAAAAAACCTATACAAGGCACTCTTCACTCCGTCACGTTCCGACTCGCTTAAAATGTCCGTGCAGTCGTTGACTCTTGGAGATTGAGTGCCGATGAACTATTTTAAGCGCTTTAGATGGCGAATAAAATTGCCTTTGCCTATTCTGCTAATCGTGGGGTGTGCACACTCATGGTTAATATTGACAATGCTCATTGATCCCTTACCTATCAATATACAATGATTGGGCAAAACTAGTGTGTTTTATAGCAAAACACATTCCTGCGGAGGGAGCTGGTAGGAACGTTGGGTTGCTCGGTCAATGGCCAGGGTCAACGGCGGCACCACGTGGTGTATTCCGCAAATATGCCCGACTGTGAGGGCGGGCACAAGCCGGCGTGAGTAGGTTAAACGTTGAGTTTTATAAGGGCACCACGGGGTGACCAGCCCCTCCCCACCCAGCCCCACCCCACCCACCCCCCACCCAGCCCCACCCTCCCCATCCAGTCCCTCCCCACCCTCCCCACTCAGCCCCTCCCCACCCTCCCCACCCCAGCCCCTCCCCACCCAGCCCCACCCTCCCCACCCTCCCCTCTCCACCCAGCCCCACCCCTCCCATTTTTGGATGCACGAGGGACGGACGGACACAATAATCCCCTGTGGGCTGGTGTAACCAGGAGGTTCCTACCAGTACTATTTATAGCTTCCATAGCCCAGTGAATTTTTATTCAGCCTGCCGATATTCCCACTGTCGCCAAATCCCTTTAATTAATCTTGGATGGATTCCACTGATGAGGTTCCTTCCCCTTGAAACCATGGCTGGATTTACGGCATAAACTGCGGGGCTATGACGAGAACAAGAGCAACAGCAATCAAAGCACAACCTCTTCTCACGGACTCACAAATTCTTTGGGAGATGATTCCTCTTGGTCAGTGCTGTTCTTATCGCCTTGTTTTCCCTCGCCTCTGGTCCCGTCCTTGTCTTGTGCCTGCAAGGTGATGAATAGTGTCAAATAAATCACACGGCGTATGAACGCGCATTGCCTTATTCAGGGCTGATCTCCCACAAGCTAAGAGCATCATAATAATAATGATGATGGCACAAGTCTTGCACGAAGGGGAACAAAGCCAGATATAACAAGTGGACAAGCCAGTCAAGTCTTAGAGCCTCCGTTTGTTGCGGGGGTTTTAGGGTACAAAGAAGTTGTGGTACAAGCACATGTTAGGTGCGTGATGATTACACCCGCTGGAAACAAAGCACTCTAATCCCTTGTTAATGTACGTAAGTTGAACTTATTTCGCACCGTACGGACGTGGCCATACGTGGTAATTGGAGGTGCCAGCGGCGGGACGGGGGGGGGGTGAGGGCAATATAAACGTGGACAAGACGCATCGCGAGAAGGAACGATGGGTTATTGGATGAGGCTTGTGCAAATGATGGCAGCCAAAGGAGAGAAACATGTCCAAAGGGGTGACCAGTGGGGAGATGGAGTGACGAGGTTTATTCATCGTATGCAGGATCGAATTGTGACGTCTGCAGGACAGTGGGGGGTGGCATCAACGTGCAGAGGCCTAGTTCCATTCAGCAATAGATAGAGAATGACTGCTGCTGATGATGATGATGTTGATAACGAGGGGTTGTTTGTGTAGACCGTATGGCTAATTTTTTCCCGGGTTCAGTTTCCCTTTCTCTCTGAGCAACGCATTGGCCAAAACAAGCACGGCTTCTGAATCATTGAAGTTTACTGTATAATTTGGACCATATATAGGCTGATCCTCTTTATTAAATTCTCACGGGGGAAGCGACACGGCCGGAAGCCTTGGCTTGTGGAAGGCGCAGTATGACCCAAGAAAAGTAGGCACTCCCAAGGGAAGAATGTCGAGCAAGTTCTGTTCAGTTCCCTGCCGAGGATTCTGAGATTGTTGTTGTTGGGTTGTCGCTCCACGCGTCGGGAGATTCTTCTACAACTCAATTCGCTTTCCCAAGAAGGTCACAGCATGCGGAGCGAAACGTCAGAAGTCGTGCCGCCGGACGACGCATGGTGCAACCCGAACACGCAACGGACAGCAGCTACACAGCGGCACAAGCGGGACTCACCCACACAGAAGTTCCATTCAGTGTCAACGTGTAGCAGTGGTTTTTGCCATACTTTGTGGTGTTCATAAATGTATCATTATCATCATCATCCAGTGTTAAAGAATTATAATTGGACAGCAGTTTCAGCTGCCTCGATCCAACCAAAGACAAAGATCCCCCGTGTAGCCATGACAGACTGTTGGGGCAAGTGCTGTTCACTGGCACCTATAAAGGCGAGTACGGCACACAAGAGGGTGGGTGGCCAGCACCACGCCCGGCCGCCTTTGTCTCCCCAATGGCCATGCTTACACACCACACCAGGTGCTCATTTGGGGCTGAGTCGACCTAAGGTAGGCCCAGGATCGGTTTAGATAATCGTCACCGGTGTTTGCTGTGAGCGGGAATCGAACCCGGGTCGCTGGGTTCGTTGCGCAGCGCGCTACCCGCTACACTACCGCTACACACACACACACGTGCTAGGTAGGAAACGGATGCGATCGTACGCGACTCGTCCCTCTATGCCTGCACGTGTCCACCAAGGTGTTGATGACGTGGCACCTCTTTGAGATTCGAGTCTTTGCTGTTCAACTGGTGAAGATCGCTCAAGACTATTCAGGAAAAAAAACACAAGAATTGTGTTGCCCATATATCAAGTACGCAGGTCAATCTGTAAAGTCAATCTGTTGGCTATTTTCTCCGGGTCCTCCGGTTTTTCCCTCCACATTTAGAATCAATGTGTGTTTAGAGTATTTGGCTGCTATACATTGCCACGTGATAAGCCACTTCGTTGAGCTATCATCTGTGGCCAGGTCGCTTCTGAAAAAGAGCTAAATAGCTCATTGGGCCTTACCTGGTAAAATACATTTTTTTAATAGTTTCATATTATTACGAATTCATCATTATTACAAATGTTTCCCCAGTAACGAGATTCACCAAGTCTCAAGACTCTTTTCATGCCTAATTCAAATTCTTTAAAAATTAATGATATCTGAATGGATAACCTGTATTGTGTCATACTGTAAACAGATTAATGCACACTACATATGCATATTACCAATAACTCCAACAGTTAAATAGACAAATGGGATGGGCTAGTATCAATCGGATTGCTGTTAAGCTCTGATGTTTTTACCCTAAAACTATAAATTCCGAGTTTTGAGTTTAGCGCATGTATTGTGTGGGTACAAACAAATCACTCTGAATGCACCGATCTCGTCACATCTTGGAAGCTAAGCCGAAGTTGACCCTGGATAGCGCTTGGATGGGTTCCTACCACGCATTAAATAGGCTGCTGTACGTCTCCTGCAGGGAAGTGCAGCGAAATCCATTGTTGCACTGTCCTTGTATGCTCCCACCTTCGCCAACCCACGCTGACAAGTGTGGTGAAGTATGGCAACAAAAACAATCACCAGGACTGCGGGGCGGCCCTCATCCAGCAATTAATCGATAAAGAGGCCGTACATTGATATACACATTGACACAAACTGTAATAAAAGTACATTTTACACAAATGCACATAGGGGACATAACGCCGCTGAGTTTTTTCCTTCTTCCATAATGACGTTCATGCTGATGCTGCAGTTTAGAAAGGGCTGTTTGTTCGTGCAGAGACGAACATCTGGTCATACAAGTAAAGCGTTTCTGTGGGAAGCACACATTACGTCAAAGGCTTAATTGTTGCCCGTGTTTTCATATGATGAAACGCCCAGGAAAAAGTTCAGTGTGTCACGGAGACACATGGACAGACAGACGCACATGGAAAGGTTGGATCCTTGGACAGAATGAAGGGAAGACACGCACATGCGCAGCACGCTCAACCGTCAATTAAGGGTCCCACGGCCTGATGTGGATGCCCTGAGATGCGTTGGTGTTCCCCTGGCTGCCCCTGGCTGCCCCCGGCTCTCTCTGGGGCCCATTGCCATCATTTGTTGTGAGCCCCATGCTCCGACACTCCCCCCACCCCCCTCCGCTCCTCTTGTAAAGCATCTTGAGATGTGATTAGGTTTAGGTAGTTAAAGGTGCAGCCCTGCAATTACGTGTTCATGCCACTGCTGGTAGAAGAGCCTCCACTAGAGGGACTCCAAGAAGGTGTTTTGTCCTACTGGCCAAAGGTCTGTGGTGTATGAATTACACTGCTAGGTGGATAGAGTCAAGAAACTTGCCACATTGTTTCAACTGCCATGCTGATAGGTCGAACCAGCAACCTGGTGGTGAGAAATACTCTCTGGTTCTTTCGGTAAAGTCACGTAGATAGAAAATAATAATAAAATAAAGCACGACGTTTCGGTCGCAACACAAGCAACCGAAACGTCGTGTTTTCTTTGATTATTTATTCTACCTACGTGACTTTACCGAAAGAACCAGAGAGTATGGATTCCTGCAGTCACGAAAGCTTCAAATCAAGATTGGTGGTGAGATGTTAACTCCCTCGCCTGGTATGCAGGAGGTTGTGGGTTTGATCCTGACCCTGACGCCTGCTGTATATTTGGGGTTTGCATGTCCTCACCGTGGTTGCGTCGATTTTTTTCTGGGTCCTTCGGATTTTCACTCCACATTTAGAAACATGCGTTTTGAGTATTTGGCTGCTATGAATTTGCATGTGATAAGACACTTCGTTGAGCTATCATTGTGGCTAGGTCGCTTCTGAAAAAGAGCTACATAGCTCAGTGGGCCTAACTTTGTAAAATAAAAAGAAATTGTATTTATTTAAGTTTACCTCTGAATTGCAAGTCCAACGTGATAACCATTACAACACTGGCAACATTCGCCAATTGCATTTAGATGCTGTACAAATTGAAATTGTCGCCGTTGTTAAATACAGCTTCCTATCTCCTGCAAGAGAATACGGTCCCAAGCAGGACCAGGTCTGGCACCAGACAAGTTCACTCTCCTAAGCGGTGAATATCACTGTCATCGTGGCCTCCCACACAAAAAACAGAAACAAAGATCCCCCGTATCGCCGGAACAGACTGTTGGGGCAAGTGCCGTAAGCGAGCACCTATAAGGGCTGGCACGGCACACGAGGGGGTGGGTGGCCAATACCACGTCCGGCCGCCTTTGTCTCCCCAGTGGTAATGTTACCACACCGGGTACTCATTTGAGGCTGAGTCGACCTAGGGGAGGAGGCCCATGACCAGTTCAGATAATCGCCACCGGTGTTGGCCTTGAGCGGGAATCCAGCTCGGTTCGCCAGGTTCGTAGCGCAGCGCGCTAACCGCTACTACACTACCGCTCTTCCCACACACAACACCTCTACTGACCAAACGCCCCATCCTAGAGGAAGCTGGTGCAGGGGGTACCGGGTCTCTCGGCAAAACAGTCCTTCCCGCGTTGCATGTACGTGCGTACCTACGTTAAATGCACGTACGTACGTTGAATGTACGTACGTACGTTGAATGCACGTACGTTAAATGCACGTACGTACGTTGAATGTACGTACGTACGTTGAATGCACGTATGTTAAATGCACGTACGTACGTTGAATGTACGTACGTACGTTGAATGCACGTACGTTAAATGCACGTACGTACGTTGAATGTACGTACGTACGTTGAATGCACGTACGTTAAATGCGCGTACGTGCGTTGAACGTCTTTCGCAGCGTACGTAGCCAACCGTGCTAGTCGGAGTCGCGCGGGCGGCGGAGGGGGTGAAGGACAACACAAACTTCGTGCCAGGTGCGTTCCCCCCACCCCACCTGCTGCAGCTGAGCGATGAAGTCCTTGGGTCGGCACACGGCGCCGACCGCCAGCGTCTCGGCCGCGCACCGCCGAGCGAACTCGGCCGCGGCGCGGACCTCGGCGGGCGAGAGGTCGTGGCAGAGCGACGGGTCGCGGTCGTGGGGCGGCAGCTGGCGGCACAGCTGCCTCTGGCGGTAGCGCTCGCCCTCCGTGCCCGCCACCGGCTGCTTGTCGTCCGGCAAGGCACTCATGAAGCCCACCGCCTGCACAGAGATTGGAGGATTCTCAACAACAACCCCCCCCCCACCCCCCCACCACCTCCATAGCATTAACCTAAGAAAGTATTACATACCGTAAAAAAATGACTACATAATCAAATGTATTTATCATAGCTGTCAACCCATACCGTTTACCCCGTATTCTTGTACAGGGAAATTGAGTTTTCCGGTCCACACGGCGTACAGCCGTTTAGATACGGGCACTAAACACATTTTTGTCTATTTGTTTGTGTTCCTCCCTTGTGATGGGACTTTGTAGGATGAACGTTAATATTTAAAAGGGCATGGGGTGACCAATAAGGTCTGAATTGGTTTGTAATAAGGTAGGCACCGATAAAGTTGTTGAAAGGTATGATTTACCTATGTAAAATTAACAAATGTATTCGACTCAAGGTCAATTCATCAAACATAAATCACTTGCTGCACTCATTTCTTTCAATACGTTTTTTTTCCTTCCGAGCTTCAAGCCGTGGCAAAGTCACGAATGATGTCGTTGTAATTCATTCTGACGGGCGCGCTACCGTCATCACTCAGGTGTTACTTCAACGTGGTAAGGAGGCCTTCAAAATAAGAGGCCTCTAGATTAATGCGGCCCTGGTTTGGATAAGCGCTGATCGTGAGCACCGACTCGATTAAATTTCAACTTTATTTTATGTAGTCCCTTACGTAGCCCCCCCCCCCACCCCGCCCATGATCATCTTTTTGAGGTAGCTGTCCCGGGGCAATTTAAATTCCCGGTTTTTATTAGTTGCATAATAATACACTGCTCAACATGTACGTGTGGTTCTACCATCTTCCCGTATTGTGAGGCGTTCTCATTCTTCCCGTGATGCATCATTTCAAAGGTGAACTAAATAGACAACATGAAGGATTTGGGCCAATGTCTTATAAAGAACAGAATAAGCACACCTGGGGTTGGTGTGGTCAGTATCACACTCAGCTGCCTCTGCATCCCCACCGCTGATGTATAGATACCACACCAGGCAATTCATTACGGTTGAGTTGACCTAGGAGAGGCCCAGGACCGGTTCAGATATCACTTGCCACTAATGTTAACAGTGGCTGGGGATTGAACTCGGAATCGCTGGGTCCATAGTTCAGTTTGCTAACCACTGCGCCTCCACTCCCCAACGCACTCGTGCACAAAATACGTAAACATGCACACATGCAGACTGTCGTGGCAGGATGCCTAAATACTATTGAAAACATAACCGTTGGAAAAAAAAATGCCAAAAAACATGCTTCTAAAAATACAAAATAAATGCCATTCAAGTTGCATTTTGGCACAAGGATTGTGAAATCGCAGAAACCGCAAAAAATTGCAATAGCTTGGGGAAGCATTCATCCAGCTGTGGATTAATCTTGGCTGATGATGATGGTGATACAAATAGACTTCTTCAATGGGGCACTCGCTGCCTTGATGCGGTGAAAAAAGACATGGAGAGCCTTGAATACTTGAGTAATTATACGTGAATAGTGGCACCTAATGCAGTCAGATACCTGTTGAGAGATGAGACTAAATGTGTTCCCTTCACCAATGTAAATTGCCCAGTATGGTGAATTATAGTCAAGGAACTTCCATCACTGCAACACATAAACTAGTCTCCATTATTCAGCAGCTCTGGCTCCACCGGCCATGGTATCAGCTGGAACATGCAAGAGCAGGGCGTGCAGAGAACTCTATAATAGCCAGCCTTAATGATTTCATTGAATGTTTTACGAGTCCCTCAAACTGCCCCCACCCATCTCCTCATCCCATCAATACCATTACCCCATAAATATAAATTTGGACTTCAGCCATGGGGAGCTCCAGCTCATCGTAAGCCCTGATCACAATAATATACAACAAAAAAGGGGTCATAGCCTTAAACGTGAAGAATATTTATTTTCACGAGAGCAAATCCGTCGAGCTGTAAAGCTCTTTTTGCACTGACGTCATTTTGGGTCCACCACGCCCAGCCCAGCCCAAAAAGCCGGACCGAGACCACAGCACGGATCCAACCCCCCCCCCCCCCCCCCCCCCCCCCCCCCCCGGACGATCACTGACCAGCGCCTGGCTCACTCCGGGTGGCACCCACTCGTATGCCAGGCTCTCGAAGGTGGGGTCCTTGCGCGAGGTGAGCGGCCGCGTGATGATCATGCGGTGGCGCTTGTAGACGTAGCGGAGGGCCCCCTCGGCGCCGCCCTCGGCGTCTGCCCTCCTCCTGGCCGCCATGTGCGCGTGCCGCGAGCCGGCGAGCAGCCAGCCGAGCCGCTGGTCCTCGGCGACGTCGCTGTCCACCCCGTGCTCCTCGGGGCCGCACCAACAGCGGGCGCACGACTTTCTGTAGTGCACGCACGCACGCAAATACAACGGTGCCTACTGTGTGAGCCTATACGGGTTTTACTCTCCCACCGTGTGAGCCTACAAGGGTTTTACTCTCCCACCGTGTGAGCCTATACAGGTTTTACTCTCCCACCGTGTGACCCTATACGGGTTTTACTCTCCCACCGTGTGACCCTACACGGGTTTTACTCTCCCACTGTGTGAGCCTATACAGGTTTTACTCTCCCACCGTGTGAGCCTATACGGGTTTTACACTCCCACCGTGTGACCCTATACGGGTTTTACACTCCCACCGTGTGACCCTATACGGGTTTTACACTCCCACCGTGTGAGCCTATACGGGTTTTACTCTCCCACCGTGTGAGCCTATACGGGTTGTACTCTCCCACCGTGTGAGCCTACACGGGTTTTACTCTCCCACTGTGTGAGCCTATACAGGTTTTACTCTCCCACCGTGTGAGCCTATACGGGTTTTACTCTCCCACCGTGTGAGCCTATACGGGTTTTACTCTCCCACCGTGTGAGCCTATACGGGTTGTACTCTCCCACCGTGTGAGCCTATATGGGTTTTACTCTCAAACAGGGTTTTTTTTACCCTAATAGAGGGTTTTTTTTGGGTTAGATCGCGAGATCGAGGGTTTGCCCTCCGACGCGCCAGTGTGCTGTTGCTCGTAACGATTTGGCACGTTTTTAGTTTACGTGACGAACTTTATCTCGTTGGCTGCATCGGGTGGTGGCGGGTTTAACGACATTTATATTTAAGCAATCCAGCCCCCCAAAGAAACCTCTAATTATGGATAATATTGATAGCGAAAGCCGACTACGTGTTAAACGACACAGGCTTGTTGGGCGACCAGAGCTATTACGGCCATCACGTTACACAAGGGGGGACCGTGTTGCCAGCAACCGCGCCCGGCCGCATTTGTCTTCCTGGTGTCGATGTTTGCACGCTCCATCTAGGTACCCATTTATGGCTGAGTTAACCTGGGTGAGGCCCAGCACCGGTGTCAGATAATCGCCTCTGATGTAAGCCGTGGATTTGCCGCGGGAATCAAACTCGTGCCTGCTGGGTTCACGGCTCAGTTCACTGTTTACTGACCAACCTGGTGAAGAATGGTGAAATAACCCCCACGATCGACAAGGTGTGGGGAGGCCCTCATCCAGCAGTGGATTTATAAAAAAAGGCTGTCCATGTACAGTATTAGACAGGAACAGTGATGGTGGTGCCAGCATTGGGTTGAAGATGGCTTTTATCATCAGGGGAGGCTCATCTGTTACATGTCTGGTTTATAATTAGGCAGCAGCGTGAATGACCGTGCTGAATAGTTGTGTCATATTGAAAGCTGCCTCCTTTGGTAGCCAAGACGTGGACCAACCGAAATTTGGCTGAACGCTCTGCTAGGCTGGTATGGAAGATGTCTTACTGGAATAAGGACAATCATATGCTGTGTCGAATTAATTTCCGGCACAAAATCCCAGGCTGTTTTAGCTGAAATTAAGCGCTGGACTTGGAGTCAATTTAAAATTTCCCAGCGTCACCGGAAGGTTGTCATAGTTTTTTGATAACTGTCCAACAACATGAGCGTTGTGTGGACGACGTGGCAGACCTCACGATTCACTTGTGGAATAAGTTTGCCTGCTGACGTAAGTTATCTGCGCATTGGACCACACTAAAAAAAATAGCAATGCGTCATGCAGCTACATTCACAACATAGCTTTAGATGGAATAAACAGGCAATTCCACTTTCTAAATTTGGAAATTGTTATTGTAGCATTATATTTATAGCACTCAAATACTCACACAGTACACCAAATGAATAAGAATTTGGAGTATTTTTCTTCAAATTTTTTACATTTAATGTCGTGGTCTAAAATATCATCAGCCATGGATCCATCTATGACTGGGTGAAGGCAACTCCGAGACGTCGCCTTCACTCACGGTGCGGCGATGTCACAACACCGGTGATGTCACAACACCGGCAATGTCACAACACCGGCAATGTCAATGTCACAACACCGGCAATGTCACAACACCGGTGATGTCACAACACCGGTGATGTCACAACACCGGCGATGTCACAACATAGGCAATGTCACAACACCGGCAATGTCACAACACCGGCAATGTCACAACACCGGTGATGTCACAACACCGGCAATGTCACAACACCGGTGATGTCACAACACCGGCAATGTCACAACACAGGCGATGTCACAACACCGGTGATGTCACAACACCGGCAATGTCACAACACCGGTGATGTCACAACACCGGCAATGTCACAACACCGGTGATGTCACAACACCGGCAATGTCACAACACAGGCGATGTCACAACACCGGTGATGTCACAACACCGGCAATGTCACAACACCGGCAATGTCACCACACCGGCAATGTCACAACACCGGCGATGTCACAACACCGGTGATGTCACAACACCGGCAATGTCACAACACAGGCGATGTCACAACACCGGTGATGTCACAACACCGGCAATGTCACAACACCGGCAATGTCACCACACCGGCAATGTCACAACACCGGCGATGTCACAACAGCGGTGATGTCACAACACCGGCAATGCCATTTTTATTGCATTACTCCTTAGTGGAGGTTGCAAAGCTGTCATGCCTAACACATCATCCCAATATATTTTCAAAAGGGACTCGATTTTAATGCAGACGCAACATCTGGCCTTATCTTCCTGAAGAGGAAACTGTACAGTGCTTTTGTATTTATACAATCCTTACCCTACGCTTTGATAAAAATCTAATTATTTAACATCCTTCCTGGATTAAGTAAAATAAGACCACCTGGCACTCGTCCAACTTCAAATTGGAAATAAAGAGAAATGTGTTTTCAGCGGAAAAGCTTTAGAATCATGCACAGATGTTTGTTGATACAATGCTATGGCCCTTTAAATAAGCACAGGCTGGAAATCTACATATAAAGAGTCATACGTAGGCACAATCACACATCGGCAGACTTCTGTGTGGTGAATATGATTGTCAACGTGTGCGATCGGCTTCGTTTGAAAAAACGGGTTGAATGATGGGGAGATGCACCTACTGCATCTGCCATCACGTAGAACTCAATTAAAATCGCATTGCAATAATGCCACTTTTGTCACAAAAAATGTTAGACGTTTAATTTTACAAACCGCAAATGATTGCAGATGCAATGCGTTTGTGTGCTCCCTGTATAAAATATTGTTTAGCCTCTGTGCAAAGTGGAAAATATGCAGGTGAAACCGCACGTCATTTCAAATGCGATTGCCTAATGATGGGATATTACTGACTGAGCTGCTCTATTGAGCTATTACTTACTGAGCTGCTATTGCCTATTGAGCTGTCTTTACCTATTGAGCTGTTTCATATAGCTCTGCCTTACCATTCAGCGTCTATTACCGAAGGAGCTGCGATTGCCAATTGAGCTGTGATTGCCTTTTGAGCTGCTATTGCTTATTGCGTTTTAATTGCCTATTGAGCTGATATTGCCGATTGAGCTGCTATTGCCGATTCAGCTGACATTGCCGATTCAGCTGATATTGCCGATTGAGCTGATATTGCCGATTCAGCTGATATTGCCGATTGAGCTGCTATTGCCGATTCAGCTGACATTGCCGATTCAGCTGACATTGCCGATTAAGCTGATATTGCCGATTGAGCTGATATTGCCTATTGATCTGCTATTGCCTATTGAGCTGCTATTGCCTATTGATCTGCTATTGCCTATTGAGCTGATATTGCTTATTGAGCTGATTTTGCTTATTGAGCTGATATTACCTCCAAGTGTGGAGCTCAAAGCCCGAACAGTTCTCCTGACACTTCATGCATGGCTGATGAGCAGGCCCTCCAGACAGGGCCATCTGTAACAACAGAGTTTCAACATCATCATCACCACCACCATCATCATCATCACCATCATCATCACCATCATCACCATCATCACCACCATCATCACCATCATCATCACCATCATCACCATCATAATCACCATCATAATCACCATCATCATCACCATCATCACCATCATCATCACCATCATCATCACCATTATCATCAACATCATCATCACCATCATCACCATCATCACCACCATCATAATCACCATCATCATCACCATCATCACCATCATCATCACCATCATCATCATCACCATCATCACCACCGTCATCATCACCATCATCACCATCATCACAATAATCACCATCATTACCATCATCACCATCATTACCATCATCAGCGTCTCCAATAATGACGACAACGAGCAACCCTATATCAATCCACCGCTGGATTAGGACCTCCCCAGGCCGTGCAGGTCACGGCCTGGGGAATGGGTGAAGGCAGTGGGGGGGGGGGTGTCAGGGCTGATTCAGGTTTTGCCACTGATGTTAGCCATGGCTGGGGATCGAACTCGGGTGGCTGAGTTCAGAGCACAGGGCACTAATGACCGTACAACCGTTACCACCGCCGCAATATTCAAATGGTTCAATCAAAAGACGAAGTCTATGTTGCCAGACCAGATATTGGTACCACCTAAGGGAGCATTTATATGGCAAACCCAACTCATTTCAAATGGCTATCGCACAATTCACTGTTATGGGCCACATAAAGAAAGGGGCCGTCCATAAATGACGTCACGCGATTTTGGACGATTTTTGACCCCCCCCCCCCCACCTTCGTCACACGGCGTCACAGAAAGTCAGACCCCCCCTCAAATATGACGTCACAAAGCTCTGCCCCCCCCCCCCCCGATGCTTCAAATCGCTTTAAACTATTGTCATTGTAGTGCGTATTTAATGAGGCGCTGCACTCTGATGTTGTAGGATAAAACATTTACTAAAAAGTCTATGTAATTAAGTAGAACGTGTTGTTTATCTTTATTAAAGTTGAGCATTTGATGTGACGTCACATTTCTCAACCCCCTCCCCTCGTCACACATCGTCACAAATATCTGACACCCCCCCTCCCCCTAGGTGCGTGACGTCATTTATGGACAGCCCCAATTAGAGCCACTAAAGTTACGCAACCTCAGGTGATACCAATAAGTGGAATACCTGGTCTGGGTTAAAAGATTCGCCTTCATTGATTCATTAACAACAATTAGTCCATGAGCAAGCGGAGACATTGGTACCACCGAAGGTGGCAGAGCTTTTGAAGTTAACATTGTTACAAATCACAATTCCATTCAGCATTTTTGCAGAACCTTGGTCAACCTACTGCTGGATTAAAAGCTCCACGTGTCGTGGTGGCTCTTCGACTGGCTTTTCACACCGCTGGGTCAGCGAAGGCCGGGCAAAGGGGGATGCCCAGAACCGATTCAAGTAATCCCTCGTGACTGATTGATGTTAGCCGATGTTGGGGAAACAAACTGAGGTGTCAAAGCAAAATGCGCTAAGTGCTGCACCACCACTCCACCCCCAATGTCGTTTTCTATGGCCATCAAAAGTAAAATACTGTCCAGTGAATATGATGTCTACTAGAATCACCCAGGAATGTCCTTAAGGCTCGTGACGTCACTCCACGTCGACCATCCCCCCTCATTAATATTCATGAGCAGGTGACGTCCTCCAAATGGACACGCCCCCCCACCCCTCATTCATCATCATGAGCGGGTGACGTCACTAAATATGGAGTACTCCCCCCCCCTCATTAATATTAATTAGCGGGCGACGTCACTCCACATGGGGGGGCGAGGCGCCTCCCCCCTCCTCCTCGGCGTTAACTTACAACCCTCACTACAAAGGCAGAACCCTCACGTCACGTGATCTCTGTAACGCTGTTGAGACATCAAAGTAAAAAGGACGTCGTGGTGAACAAGGGATTATAACCTTAAAATGAAATAGGTCTGTGTCACCGCGCCCTTACAAACTGCACACGAATTAATGCAATGAATATATCACGTGGCGTTCTGCTTTTCGTTTGCAAGTTTCAGATTTACTGCAATACGCCCGTCCTTGGACGGGTAAAAGGCTAGTAATGTAATGGTTAACCCATCAAAATGTCATCATGGGCCATAGACCTTACAACAAACATCTAGATAAATAAATACATCACTATCCACGTCGGGTGGTAACAACGCGTGAGATGCTTGGACTCAACCGAGAGATAACATAGTTCATTATTCACGTTGTACGTTACTTTTTAGACAATGATCTCTTTCTTATTTTTATTGTTACACCCCAAAGCCAATTTAACTATCTCCAAAACGACGAACGCCATTAGCACTGCCAACATAGAGTCAAGATTGCTGCCGACATGATCACCATCATCAGCATCATCGTTACACTTATAGGGGGTTTGTAATGTTGAAATAAGACACGTGCTGTCATTTAACCATCACATGCATGTAAACCAATGAGCATAGCATGGAATTTATGCTGTTATGAATGCAAACATGTAACATAAAGTATTATTACTGTGCGTTACAGGAAGTAGTATTACACTGTGTAACAAAAACAAATTTGTCCCTGGGTAGTAAGTGTTATTTGCTAATTGCTTATGCCTCAAGAGTACAGAAAATGGCTATTATTTCCCACAAACTTTGCTTTTGTGACCAGGACAGTGATATTTTGGAATTTACCTATTTTCAATAAGAAAACGTGGCGTGCATTTGTGTCATTCCTTCACATAAAGCCCTGGTCACAAAAGCAAAGTTTGTGGGCAATAATAGCAATTTTCTATACTTTTTAGGCATAAGCAATTAAAAAGTAACACTTAGTACCCATGTATAAAAATCGTGTTTCTTAGTGTAATTACGACGCTTTACGATCTCGGCAGTGCTGTTAAAGATGACTCGGACAAAACTGCAGCAAGGCAACACTGCACATAAGGTGTGCACAATGCAAGTAACCTGCTTCAAAACACGAACACTGTACTGCTGTAAATGAGAGCCATAACTTTGGTGAACACACATCGTATGAAATGTAAATTACAAACCAACCGTAATGTAAGGCATTACAAACACATGGTAACTTACTACAGCATTAACATAGTATCACTCAGCATCATCACTCGTTAAAACAACACGGATCTTGTTCCTTCTTAACACATAGATGTCATTAGCACTCATACCTTGTGCATTTGAGACTCTAGCTCCATTGGAACGTGAACACAAACGGTAGCTGATGAATGAATTCAACATAAGCTGTGGCACAGCTCTGGAAAAATCAGGGTCTCTTTACTGACAGGCCACACTACTTGACACAAGGAACAGACGCACAGAGCCGAGAAGGGTTGTTGGAACTTTTGTTAGGCGAGTAAAGACTGAGCCACACTTTGTGCTGCTGCCGCTGCTGGCGAGGTTGCTGCAGGAATGAGATGTCAGTTCGGGTCCCCCACTCCTCACAGTCTTGTGCTGCCTCTGTTCTCAGAGCGAATGGGGCTGACCAGCGCTAACTGTGGGAGTGGTTTCCCGTTTGCAAGAGGGGCAGCCCATTGCGAGAGTTGGGCCACGTTCAACAACGAGCGAACGAATGAATGTGATTCATTGCCTGATTATCCTCGTAGCAAAAGTAGCTACACATGTAGCTACGGGCCCCGCACTTTCAAGGGCCCCGCGCTAAACGCTTTCAAGCTATCAATTCCGGTTCAGCGATTGTGCACTTGCTCTATTACTATAGTACTATACTGCCTCCAACTTTAATGAACGACTGGGTGTTTAAGGTTAGCGATTTGTCGTATTATATGGCTGTGTAGCAAATGAAAAAATACAATTACTTTACTATGCAAGTAAAAAAAATTGTGTTTTAATATTTACGTGTTTTTTTTTATTTAGGGCCCCTTTATAACATCATATGCTACAGGCTCTGCACTAGCTTAATCCGGCACTGATGTGAGTCATGAAATATTTCACTCAGTTCGTGTTGGGAGTTGGAATTCAAGTGCTTAAATTAATGGGTATGTGGGTATTACGTTTTCTGTGTGTGTGTATTTTTTTACAATGTTATGTAGCCCTTAAATGATTCATTTATAATTATGCATTCCACTCATTCTCAATCCACCAATGAATGAAGGCCAATCCATGCCATGTCGTCTATGGGTTTTTTCTTCACGTGCCATACTTCACCCCTGATGCTAGCCGTGGCAGGGAATCAAACTCAGGTGGACAGTCCTCAGTTTGTTTCTGCACATAAAGATACAATATCATTTAGTCCTTCAACCTGAGTTTAACTAAGACACCTCTGAGTGAGGCTTGCTTAAATTGCCCATTGTGCTGGAAAATTATTTATATCTATATTATCCGTAACATTATCTCCTGGATTATATTTAGTTACGGCTTAGCAAGCAACGTTTTAAATATTTTTTTACTGTTTTATTTACCAGGTAAAGTGAACTGAGCTCTTATCTCTTTTTCAGAGACGATCCAGCAAACACAATATCGCTCATCTAAGTGGCTTATATGATCACATGTACGAATTTTAAGTAGCTGAATAATCTGGACGCATGATTCTAAATATGCAGAGCAAAACCGGAGGAACCTGTAGAAAAATTCATACAGCCACCACGGAGAGAGAGAGAGAGATCACACGAACTCAAAATATACAACAGGCCTCGTCAGGGTCGGGATCGAACGCATGCCCTCCTTCGTACCAGGCAATGGTGACAACTCATAGCTCCTCGAACGTTATTGGTCATGAGATCTGTGTGTGTAAGTGCGTGCGCTGTGGGTGGAGCGGTAGTGTAGCGATCAACGCGTTGCGCTACAAACCCGGCGACCCGAGTTCGATTCCCGCTCACGGCCAACACCAGTGACGATTACCTGAACCGGTCCTGGGCCTCCCCGAGGTTGACTCAGCCTCAAATGAGTACCTGGTGACTGTGTGTAGTAAGCATCGCCCACCCCCTGGTGTGCCGTGTTGGCTTTCATAGGAGCTCGCTAAGAAGCACTTGCCCCAACAGTCTGTTAAGGCTATGCGGGTGAACTTTTCTTTGTCTTTGCCGTGGCCCCTAGCTGAATTGTGGATATGCTTTAAACAATACACGTGCAGCCCCGAGTGAATCCATTGTCGGATAAAGGGCTCTCCAAGTCATGCGGGGTCGTTTGGGAGGATTCCCCCCCACCCCCCACCATACTTCACCACGATGGCCGGTGCAAGTTAATTCAAGTGAGGAGCATAGCAGTCGGACCATTAAAGGACTGCGCATGACAATGGATTTTTCCCACACTGCCCTCTACAACACACAACGAAGTCCCCCAAACCGCGCACGAACAGGTGACGAACCTGCTTAGCTTGCGAGATCTGACGAGATTGATGAATTGGATAAAAAACAACGTTAACATACTACAACTCACAAGGAATACTAGATCGGTTAATTAGTGATGAAAAGGCGGCTGTGCAGAATATTAAAATGCCAATATTTAGGAAAGCATCGGGGAGCCTCAAGACTCTTTTAGGGCCGTTTTGCATCAGGAATGTTGTCCAATTCTGTTTTTAGTGTGCGATGTGTCGGATGCAATTATAAAACACATTAGCAAACAGAGAAACCCCCATACGAGTGACACTCAGTACTGCTACATCACCTGGCCACCCATCCACCCCGCCCCTACTACTACCTGGCAATCCTCGGTTGCCACCCGTTAAAGTAATAACGAGAAAAAAGTTCAACAGTCTTCAATGACACTTGCCTTAAAAAAAACTTAAATTACAAGCAATGGCTCATTAATAGGCTACAGAAATCGCGTTCATGAGAGTTGGAGCCTGCCCTTAACACCATGGGGTCTGATGATAATTAAAACAACTTTTTTCCCTATAAGAGCAGTTTTTACATACTGTATGCCTGTAAATAATTATCTGATAGCTATTAAAAAACAAACCCCTTAACAATCATCATGAGCGGGTGACGTATTAATACGCATTTGTATTAATAGTAAAATTATGAAATATTGATGTCACGTCATATTGCATTGTGGGAAGGTTTGTTCCACCTGGCAATGCATTCCAGGGCCCGGTTACCATTTCAAGTGAAGGAATTTCTATAAATGTGTCTTTATAAAGAACGAAACAGGTGGACTTCTCCACTAATCTGGCTGTCGTCTGATGAAGCTAGTTGTAATTACTGGCGAAACGTCGTACTCGAATTGTAAATGTTATGGCTTGGCTCTCCAACACACCGGTGTGCTCTACTCAAGGCCGTACCCATGGAGTCAACATTTGGGGGGACCAAATCTTCCAGGGTGTCTGGGGGTCCCAACCCAGAAAAATATCTAAATTTGAAAACGGATTTCCTGTTTAAAATATTTTAAAAATCACTAACCATATGGGATGGACTTTTCTTTTTACAATGTCTAATAGTGTATTGTATTATATTGCTCTGTTTTTACTGTTTTGCCATTTCTTGTTTCATTGTATGTAATGGCAGAGATTGGGGATTAATAAAGTACATCCATAACCACAATCTTATAAACATAAATCTATGCATTGATTTATATGAAGACAAGTTCAGATATTGTGGCCAAGGTTTAGCAAATTGTTGTCTTTATTTACATAGCACAGCAATTATTTTTATAGCAATATATTGGGGGGGGGGGGCATTTTGAGCATATTTGAATATTGGGAGGGATGTGTCCCCCACCCAATATATATTATAATTACGGCCTTGGCTGTACTAGTGACGAATTGGCATGTTCTGTTTACGTGACAACCCCTACTAGTTGGCTGTGTCGGGTGGTGGCGGGTTTAATGACAGATTTATATATTTACGCGATCTAACCCAAAAAATCCCCTCTATTATGGATGATATTGGCCGCGAAAGTCTACAACGTGTTTTAAACTGAAGAAGAGGAGCCTGAGAAAGAACATTTGGGGTACAATTCTGAAACCAAAATCAATAAAATAAAACGAAAAACGCATATAATAGCCAGGCTCGTCTTCTTATTTGTTATACCGGGACACATTTAGGCTGATAGAGTTCATTGCCTACCGCAGGAGAGCCTCGATAATTTTTTAGTTGTCGTACAAAAGGAACTTTGTTGTCTTCAAATGAAACAAAGCTTTAATATGAGCCATTGCTGAATTCTCAATCCTGGTATGTATTCCTGCTGTATTATATGCAGTATTTTACAAATACGTTGCTTTGCTTGTATGTAAGTTGAACTTCTTTCCCATCGTACGTAGCCTACCGTGCGAATGGGAGGTGCAGTTTGCAAGTGGACAATCCGCCGCACGAGATGTTCTGAGTGCCAAAGCTTTTGTGACTGCAGGAATTAATATTCTTTTGGTCTTTCGGTAAAGTCACGTAGATAGGTTCAAAGATATGAAAATAAAATTTTAAAAAACTACGACGTTTCGATCACAACACAAGCGATCGTCATCCTGATGACTTCATTTTTTATATCTTTGAACCTATCTACGTGGCTTTACCGAAAGAACCCAAAGAATAAGTAATGCTAATTTAAAGCTTTCGTGACTGCAGGGATTCATATTCTAAAGTCACGTAGAATGGAAACAATAATATATTTTATTATTATTTTATTGTTTCCCTTCTACGTGACTTTACCGAAAGAACAAAGAATATATGTAATGCTGTACTTTGAAATGTCTGCTGGCTGTGTAGGTGGTTCAACACTGCCCCCGGGTGTTGATGAGTGGTAGTGACAAGCACTGAACTTCAGTACGCCTCAGAAGGAAAACAATGATGTAGAATCGCATACTTCAGCATTTTTCTTGCTGTGGTTGTTCCACCTGATGAAGATTGCTTGTGTTGCGATCGAAACGTCGTGATTTGTTTTATTTTATTTCTACCGACGTGACTTTACCGAAAGAACCAAAGAGTAATGATAGACTAGACCAGGGGTCTGAAACATTTGAAAGAAGAAGAGCCATCATTCTGTTTTATGTCTTTGACCAAAATAGTTCGAGAGCGGCATCTCACACACACACCCCCCGCATCACACACACAGAGCCGCATCTCACACAAAGCTACTTGTACACAAACACAGCAGGTATACAGCAAACTACAAATTCTGACTTAATAAACAAAGTAGGTGATGGAGCTGCATTGATTTAATTCCTCCCCCCCCCCTTAGTTATACATTTTGTTGTCACCAAGACAGTGACCCGTTCCCCTGCCATATTTAATAAATTATCGTTTCGTGAGATTGTTTGAGATTTACGTTTTTTTTCATTTGTATTTGTTTAAAAACGCTCTGCCCGCAAGGGGGCAGCCAAAGAGCCGCGAGGGGCGTGGGGAAGAAACCAAAGACTTATTCATTGTTTTTTTCGGTAAGGTCATGTATGTAGAAATACAATAAAATTCTATTTAAAAAAACAATCACGACGTTTCGATCACAACGCAAGCGATCTTCATCAGGTGTCAAGAACAAATCACGGAGGTAAATACAACAAAAAGATGAGAGACGATAATTCAACAAACTTGAAAAAACATTATGTGAAGCACATCCAGTCAGGCCAACAACACAGACACTTCCTGGCGGACCACGAATTTCAGAAGAGTGTTATTAAGAAACCAACGAGCCACCGCAATCCAGTTCCAGAGACGCAGCTTTGCCGAATCCTGAACGAGACCAAT